CCCCCCCCCCCCCCCCCCCCCCCCCCCCCCCCCTTCCCATTCGGCCGTGCGATCTAGCTGGCAGATGCTGGGCAGCGCTACCCAGTACGTCTGGCTTAATTTCCAGCAAAAGGCAGCGCGAAATAGTGTTGCAGACACATTAGAGTAAAGCGCTGGAAGGCCCAAACACCAGGCAACAACTACAACTCGACTCGGCTCGGCTCGGTTCAGCTCGACTGGTGGTCATTGGTGCTTGGGAAGCCCTCTGTCATCTCTGGCAACGATGTTTCGTGGCATCGCTCACCGGGGTGGTTTGGCAGTCTGCCAGAGAAGCAGGGCAACGTTACCCAGGCCGCAGCGACTGTATGGCCTGGCTGGTGGGGAGGCGGGATAGCAGAGGGCAGCCTTGGTTGTAGGGGTGCATGGAGGGGTGAGCGGCGGTTAGTGGGTGTAGAAATGTCTTCTGCTACCCCTTTTCTCTTCTTAAGCATCAAATTTTCCCATTTCCCCTCCCCCCCGGTAGTGAGGACTGAGAGTAGACTCGCCCCGCCACTCAGTCCCCCTAAGCCGCACAACCCTCCCACCTGGTAGTGAGGACTGAGGGCAGTGAGCGAACAACTCGTCCCCGCCACTCAGTCCGAGTGGACCGGAGAGACTGAGTTTTGTGCCCAAAAACTGGGCTTATATACGGGAAGAATGTGGGCGTAGCCAAGGTAGGAGGTGTATAAATGATCTCAGGGGGCTGTAAAATGCGCCTACCTCATACGTTACACATCACATATGCGTGACCTGAAAAGCCATAAAAATCCTTCCCTTCCACTTTTTTCGACTTACACTGGCATCCTATTCAAACTACCGCCATCCGCCGTGAGGCAACCCTACCTGTCTTCCGGAAAAAAAATTTTTTGCAGCTCGTGTGTGAGACGGGCCGAGCCGCGCCGAGCCGAGCTAAGCCGAGGCGAGCCGTGTTTTAGTAATATACCAAACACTGTAGATCATCGGTCGGGTAGAGTCGAGTTTATTTGCCAACAATTCGCCCGTCTTTGTAGCTACTCGAGGGATTGGCATTTTGCCATTTGAAGCATAGTGTTCTAGATTTTGAAATTCCCGGAGGCTTGTTGGGAGAGGGGAGCATTTCGCGTGGTTGATCATGGGGGTCGCGAAAAGGTGCTTTATTTCGCGAATTTCTTTGGTATAAAATTAGGTATTTTTTCGGGTTTTTTTTCGGCGCATATTTTAAGGTATCAATAAAAAATGATTTTTCGGCAAAACTTACGCAGCACTTGCATTTCTCGCAGTACCTATGGTTTAGGTGCGTTAACTGGCGCCGCGGTGCGTTACCGAGGTATCGATCGGGGTGTCGAATACTGGTGTGTGTGTGTGTGTATGTGTGTGCGCCACAACGAATGCATCACAGTAGATTCGAAAATTCGTGTTAAAACTCGGGCAGCGTCTCCTCCGAGGCTGATTG